GGGGCAAAAGTTTCAGGTTGAGAATTTGCATATATCACACTACTGCCAAAAGAAATATAATTTCTTGAGTCAAAGCCACTAAGTTGGAGCTTTCACAATAGCATTCCAATATTAAAATTAAGAGATCATTTGAGAACAATTGATTTTCACCATCGTATGTACCATTCTTATTTCTCTTACCAACAAAGACTTAACTTTGAATTTTAAGCATCTTTAATGAGCCATCATAAGAGAATAATGATATAAGCACAAGATCACCAATTCTGATTGCAGCTAATCAATAATTGCGAATGAATGAAGCAATTTCTCAGAGAATTTAAATTGGAAATGTTGATTCGTTTTTCCTTCAAGCAATACAAATTGATCTAAGATTTACAACATCCCAATCAGAGTTACACATCTTTAGCCATTACTACAAAACTACAATGGTTGAATTACATGCTTTTCAAATTAAAAGAAATTCCCTTTCACTGACATTTATGCTGCTCGAAGTGAGTGATCGCACTAAGGTTGATAGATAGGTATTATTATTTTTAAAAAAAAAAAACAACAAAAAACAGTGAATCTAAATGCTTCCAAAAATTTTATCTCTTTATTGACTTTTCACATGAGAGACAAGACAGACACTAAGAATTTAACAAGATATTTGAAACCAGAACTTACAGAACATGACCAATCAACTAAGCAGAGTACAGCGAGAGTGATGACTTGTGATATAGTTGAGTCATGAAATTGACTCATGAGCAAGTCGCTACACTAAGTGGATACCCTTGAAAAACGAACAAGTCCTTTAATCCTCCATATATCGACAGTGGCAAGCTGGAAATTGAATACAATAACAATTCAGTAAGTAATAAAGTAACTAAACAGAAGACAGTAAGAGTGATTTAGAGGAAATGGTGGTAAGAGATGTGGTTATGCCTGGGGCGATAAGCAGGTTATCCAACTCATTTGATGAAAAACGAACGAATGCCTTAGCATTCGACGTTTCAAGTGACATCATCCATAAAATTGATTTTTTCTCTTTCCTTATAGATTAAAAAGAAGTATCAAGAATTGATACAAAACGCCACACGGAAGCAAAGGATTATAACAACAGAACGGAAAAGAACAGGGAACAAAAGAATGCGAGTTAGCTTGGACCACTTGGATGAGGAAATAATTAGAAAAGTTCCTCCAATGAAATACATCGGCATCTCAGGAGGTGTAGATTGTAAGTGTAATTGGATTTCACTAGTAATTGTAAGGTTACTTTCCTCAATTTCATACAAGAGATAATTGAATGAAAAAGAATTAAAATTTAAGTGCAGTTTTCCAGAACAATCTTAGAAATACTCGAAAGAATGGCACTTTAATTTTTCGATTTTCAAAATATACATCTGACACTGTCAGCTTCTGACAGAGACCAACGAGAAGATTATGAATGAAGAGGCTACAATTTTATCTAAATAAATTCAAGGACCTCTTGACAAAGCAAATTTGTTTCCCAGTTTTCAGCGGTTGAGCGGTTGAGCCCACCTGAAAATTTGCTTCACAAGTTCAATTCCTTTAAAGATACCATTCAGTAATTAATTTATCATGATTTGCTGTAAGCACTAGGTTCTTCTGCTGAATAAATTAGGAACCGCCCAATTAAAAGACACTTGATTTTAACTGATCGAGAACGTATTGATTATACGATTGATTATTACCGACTTATGAGATCATGAATGTAAGCTGTCGAAGATTAGGACGGTTCGAAAACTTTGCCTTTTTGAATAATTAAATCAACAATGACGAGTTTGGATCTGATGTTGACATTATATTGTTGGGATTGCAGCATCAGCAGAGGGAACGCACTACTGCAACGTGTGGGATGAAGTGCAACAAGGAGATACACCAGATGAGGAGGTTCAACCTACGGACACACCTGATGAGGAAGAGGCATCTGGCGGAGACGGTAAGATGACCGATAAGAGACATTTTCAGAGGAATGGGTGTCCTTAAAGTGCTCCAACTGTTTGTGATACAAATAAACAAAAGCAGAGTATTCGAACTGTGAACCAAATTGCGCAGTCTCTGAAATGAAATACCAAAGATTGAAGATGAAATGCTTAAGAGTTTAATTGCTTAAAAGTTTGGTACCTCTAATTAAATTTTCAAAATTTTTTGGACAGTGCCCTGAGGATTGTATGATATTCATAATATTCATCTTAAATATTAAATATTACATTTCTAATTTTTCATCTCAAATTTAACATCTGGGTTTTCTGTTATCAATGCTACTTGTAATCGGGTATTCTCATTTTGTTCCATTTTCCCCTTTTTTGATTATACAGGGTTATACAAAAGTCACTGACCACCCCTGTAACTTTTTTCCAAATTGAGATAGAAGTTTGAAACTTTGGGAATGTTCCTCGGTCTAAAGTAGCAACTTTTTGGTCCCCCCAAAATTTTGGGGGGCGGCCCCCCTTAAGGGGGGCGGGGGCTAACTTTTTTTTTCAAATGGCAACCCCCCTTTGTGATACCTCATTCGAAAATAAAAAAAGAAAATTTTTGGCGCAAACCGCAGGTCAAAATGTTCATTTTTGACAAAATGGCGGCCGGTCAAAGTTCAAAATGGCGGAAATTTGGCATCTCCGTTGTTTATTGACGGATTGGTGTGAAACTCGGAATTCTAGGGTTTTTTGAGATGATAAAAACGATTCTGGCATTGGTTTTCCAGAAAAGTCAGTCTTTTGCAAAATGGCGGCGGACAAAATGGCGGCCTAGAGCGGGAAGTGGATATTTAGGCTGCATATCGTTGGAACTTGGTATCCGGGGGTATTTCGGCACAAGAAGAACGAATCTTTCATTGGATATCTGAAATTTTGACAAATTCCAAAATGACGGCGGAAAAATTGCGGGAAATCAGTTTTACCGCTGTTTACCGATGGATTTGCATGAAATTCGATATCCTGGCGGTTTTTGGCTGGATTAAAAGGAATCTTTCATTAGATTCTTGAAATATCAAATAATTTCATGCTAATCCATCGGTAAAGAGCCGTAAAACTGATTTCCCGCAATTTTTCCGCCGCCATTTTGGAATTTGTCAAAATTTCAGATATCCAATGAAAGATTCGTTCTTCTCGTGCCGAAATACCCCCGGATACCAAGTTTCATGCAAATCCAACGATATGCAGCCTAAATACCCACTTCCCGCTCTAGGCCGCCATTTTGTCCGCCGCCATTTTGCAAAAGACTGACTTTTCTGGAAAACCAATGCCAGAATCGTTTTTCTCATCTCAAAAAACCCTAGAATTCCGAGTTTCACACCAATCCGTCAATAAACAACGGAGATGCCAAATTTCCGCCATTTTGAACTTTGACCGGCCGCCATTTTGTCAAAAATGAACATTTTGACCTGCGGTTTGCGCCAAAAATTTTCTTTTTTTATTATCTTTCGAATGAGGTATCACAAAGGGGGGTTGCCATTTGAAAAAAAAAGTTAGCCCCCGCCCCCCTTAAGGGGGGCCGCCCCCCAAAATTTTGGGGGGACAAAAAATTTGCTACTTTAGACCGAGGAACATTCCCAAAGTTTCAAACTTCTATCTCAATTTGGAAAAAAGTTACAGGGGTGGTCAGTGACTTTTGGATAACCCTGTATTTTTAATTTGACCTCAAATGAGACTTTCGCTGAGAAAGCGACCAGGACTGAATTTGAAATTTCCTTCTCTGCATGAATTTAAGAACATTCAAAATGCTGCAACCTATGTTAATTGGATATGGAGAAAATGCACTTCAATTTATTCGTTAAATTTTCTTCAGATTAGTCAACATTTACAATTTCCAACAGAGTTTTGACAAAACTCTTGAATTTTGTATTTCTAGTCACTTCGAAGAATTACTAAATTGATATGAAAAGTAAATAATTTACTAGGTACTGTATTCTCAAAATCGTACTGTTGGAAATATAATGATTGTAAAACCGTTGAAAAAACATTCAAGACTGTATTTTTCTTTTTACAGGAAATGAATCGAGTGGCTCAGAAGATACCTTCCATTCCGAGTCGACAATGACTGCACCATTTGTTGCCTCACCTACTCCTGCTACCGTCCCATCTGGAGATTCCTTCCCCACAAGGATTGTCAATCTGTCAATCCCTGGAAGGGCGAATTCCCGGATGTGGCCAACGACGGTTGCCTCAGTGTCTGTGAGGCCAAGAATGGAGTCAGCTACCAACCTGCAAGGTCCTCGACCTCCAAGACCGAGGATCATTGTCCAACAGATTCGTCCTGGCACTCCTCAAGCGACTGCAGCCTCANTCGCAGCATTATAGTCTAACTTAATATTTTACTACTAAATCAGAACCATTTGCGTCGCACAAGCAACTGACAACCGCAAAACTGGAGATAACACCGGCGGCACCAAACCTCCAACGAATCGGAGGTAAACAATAGATGATAAAACAATATTGCCAACATAACATCGCCCGGCAATATTTTTTTTCATATTCTGGACCATATATCCAAGTATAACTATATGGTTGGTAAGGGTATGTCGCGCCAAAACGGCCATGAATAATTATTTAAAAAGGTGGTCAGTATAACTGACCACTGAGCAGGTAAGGGTTAAATATCTTCGTTATGAGTTGATTTTGGTGACTTTTGTTGTGCGCATCATGTTCTACGTGAAATTTTTGTTACGAAACAAGTATCAGAATGCTGAAATTCGTTCCTTGCCTAATGGTCCATTTAAGCCATTTGCTTCCCTAATGTATGCTCTGTTTTGTCTCGTGGTCTTCTAAAATAAGTGCTCCAGTTCCACTTCAGCCCTCCTGCAGTCTCTCATGGCTTTTGTCCCTTCTCATGTTGACAGTCGTTTATTAGAGCTACAGGTATTAATTTTGTTTCAAACTGCTTCTTTCACATTTGCCAAAAAATTGCCTTCAAGAATGATTTTGACGGATGAGATTTTTCCCTCATCGCATTCTACTTGTATGTGTCACAGACAATTTGTCAAATCAGGCACTTTATCAAATGTCTGGGCAAATAATCAAATTTTGACGGTTCACAATTTTTGTTTTGATTTATGATAAAAACGTTACTAGTTTTTAGTATTTTGGAAAAGGATGACTCACCAAATCTACGAGCTCTCCGTGTTCCTTCCTCTTCGAACGCTCCTCATTTATAATTATTTGTAGGTCAAAAGTTTGAAGAATCCTGTGTTTCATGACATGCTGCAAAATTCAAGAAAAATGTTCGTTCAGGAGCTAAAAACTGTTTCAAATGCTATTCTGTGATGCAAATTTGAATAGAAATATCTTTCTTACGAGAGGAATGAATTACTTTTTCTAAAAGTAGCAAAAGAATCAAAATTTCAATCTAAGTAAGAACATTTGACTATCTGCCTAGGCATTTGACAAAATGCCTGATTTCATGGTTGGACTGCAACACATATTTATTTCTCCCAAGATGTATTTATTTTTATAGAGTTGTGGTTGAACAGTGCCATTATTGATTGTGAGTTATTTTAAGAACCAAGGCATTATATGCTTTCTTGTTCGTTCATTTAACTACTAAAGCTTGTCAACCGGGTGGTCATCATCAGAGTTTCAATACATGTGACAATTTAATACTATCACAACTATTAAAGTTTTCAATAATTTAACAACACCAACAATATCAACATCTTTCACATTATCTAAAATAGCTCACTTTCAGTACACATGTCAATAGTCTCTTATTTTTTCCTACATCTCTCGTTTTGCCTCCAGATCGCAGTACCTATTTATAATTAAGTTATGAGCACTGTCAATTTCCGTTCAGATATTTAGTAAGTTCTCATATTCCTTCTACTCGCTTTAACAATTTAAAATTTATCTAATGTATTTATTCCTGACTTTTTACAGGCCTCAGTAACAGTGGTTTTTTATTTTTTATTTTCACTATTCCTGTCAAAGGCTATTATTGTGGGTTGCCGCTATTATTTTTTTTGTCCAGAATCATTTTATTTGCCAAAGAAGAGAATTATTTTTACAGAAAGACTTAAGTTTAAGAATATTTATTAGTTCCTGTATTTGTGAGAGCTTCCAGTATTATGTACCAGATTTTCATTATTATTTCGCTTTTTATTTGGACGAGTATTAATTCATTTTCTTGCAGTGATGTTTCCAACATCCAATTTAATTTTTGATCTGTGTTCAATCTTCAATAAGAATGTTTTCTTTATTAGTTTTTCTTTTTTTTTTTTTACTTTTTCTGTCAATAGGTTTATGCTGATGAAAAATGAAAGGCTATTATTGTTTGTTGCCCCCATTATTTTTTAATCCAGAATCATTTTATTTGCCAAAGAAGAGTATTACTTTCAACAGAAAGACTTACCTAAATAGATAATGAGGTGCATCAATTATGATGACCTAATCATCTCTTAGAATTTTCTTCTTAAATTTATTGAACAAGAATCTAGTCCTACCTCATACACTGATTTTGTGACTACGTCATTCGATATATTATCGAATTCTTGGTTCAAACCAAAACAAAGTAACAAATCCTCATGTGCGAATTCTTCACGAGTTAATTGTATTAATTTATTAACATTTAGTCATTGACCGGTCATAGACCAAGTAAATACTCATTAAACACTAGAACTTTCGATTGTAAGGAACAATTGGACGCATATTACTACCCTGACGTGGTTCAGAAACAAGGTTCTGTGTTTGTTTACATTTGAACCAAGGGTTCGATATTACATCAAGTGACGTAGCCACTAAATCAATCTATTGCCTCTTACCATGTTATACTTGCATTATATTTGCTCAGGATGAAAATGAACTTGGTCATCCATTTTTCTTCTTTTTTCTCTTTTGTACAGTCAAACCTTTATACACAGCTGTTGCTTTTATCATGTTCAAACTTCAAGGACATGATTTGTTTAAGTTTAATAATATTTATCAGTTCCTAAATTTGTGAGAGCTTTCAGTATGATGTACCATATTTTCATTATTATTTCAGTTTTCATTTGAACAAGTATTGATTCATTTTCTTGCAGTGATGTTTCCAACATCCAATTTAATTTTTGATCTGTGTTCAATCTTCAATAAGAATGTTTTCTTTATTAGCTTTTCTCTTTTTTTTTACTTTTTCTGTCAATAGGTTTATGCTGATGAAAAATGAAAGGCTATTATTGTTTGTTGCCGCTATCATTTCTTAGTCTAGATTCATTCTATCTGACAGTTCAAAAAAGGTTATTTAGGTGGTTATTCTGCTTCCAGAAGCAGAGTTCCTCAATTACGAGATAGATCAGTCATGATGACCTCGTCACCTCTTGAAATTTTCATTGTAAGTTTCTTGAACAAGAATCTAGTTGTGCTCCATTAATTCATGTACCATGTAGTAATTGCATAAGTTGGTCATCTGCTTTTGTTTTTGTACATTCGAACCGATGTCATCTATTGTTTGTAACCTGTTTAAATTATATTGACGTTATTTCATCAAGTACACAAGCGTGTTTTTTTTTTCTTGCACTTTTCTTAGCTCTCAATATTACGTACCAAATGTGACAATCAATTTAATTTTTTGAGGTTGACAAGCATTATGCCATATTCTTAAAACAATGCTTAAAACAAACAACATTATAATTCCAACTGAAAGCCTTCTAACACTACATTCAACAGGTAGCAACAAAGTCTGAGATTTTTCAATGATAAACGTTCAATTTTTATAATTCATGTCATAGATTTCATAATTCATGACTTTGTTCATCTCTGGATTTCAACCATTCAGTATTCAAATTTTCATGACAAACCTTTTCCAATGACCATTCGCGATTCATTCATCCTGTCACTTTCTGCATTTTTCTTTGGACATAAGTTAACTACATGTGTAACAAAATGCCTGCTTCAGCGAACATTCACGTACGTATTCATTCGGTTTTGCAGTTTCCAAATCTGTAAAAAGGAAAAAACAAGCTAAATATTATGGACTCCACATTTTGAAACTGAATTTTTTAGATTTGAAACTACTGTAACTGACAATTTATTTTTTATCTTTTTGTGGATGGTTTCAATTACCATATTTGACGAATAAAAATACAGTGCTGAAAGAACATTATAAAAGTCATTGGCAGAACTGGATTTAGGGCAAGTGAAACCAGTGCAGCTTTTATGGGTGACAAATTTTCAGCTGATTTTTAGTCCCCACTTTTAAACTTGGAGTACAGGAATAAAGAAAGACAAACAAATTTTAACAAATAGGACCCATGATCACCTGATAGGTACATCTCGGCTGATACGGCAAAATCGTAAAATGTAGTGATAATAATGAAATATGGTGATTAGTCCTCTCTTCCACCCTCTCATCCCTTCATATTTTGTACAGAAAGTAGGATTTTGGAGATTCATAATAAGTTGTTGGCACCTGAGACTTGGCGATGGAGTGCCTGGCTGTTCCATACATGACATTGCATGAGAAGCTGCATCATTTGGTTGCAGGTTAAATTTTTGCCCTTCAACGTGCAAAAATACCTCACAGTTGAAAAACGTTTCCTGACCAGTGTCTGTGAAGGAAGTGGTCAAAAATCACGTTGTGGAGCGGCCAAATTTTCAGAAATTTTTAGGTAAGTGTAATATGTAAGAGCCACTTTTACGGCCCGCTAGGGCGCTCTGCAACGCCTACCCGCCACAGGAATCTGTCATGGTAGAGATCCCCCGGGAGCTGGCATCTCTCCATCTCTTCACAGATGCCCTCTACCCACCGTTTGGCTGGACGCCCTCTCCATCGCCTAAGCAACCTGGTATCAGCCATTCTCTACACATGCCCATACCATACCAATTGCTTGGTCATGTTATCCGGCACAATCATCCTCTCAACACCCATTATTTCTCAGACCTGTTTATTCCTGAGTCCTGACACATTCTCTCCTTGAGATTCCAGCCGATCTTCGCCAGAAATCCATCTCTGTTGCCTTGAGCATTTCTTGGGTCTGCTTCTTTAACTGCCGCAGGTGATTATAGGCTTGAAAACCGAGTTATGAATCCTTTTTTTGGTTGTCCATGGAAATCTTAGGTTACCTGAAAAAAATCCGATTTAGAAGATGTTCAAATAAGTGATCTCTGGGAAAAAATCCTTACAAACAGAGGTTCCAGAAACCTTCATCTTCAAGGACATTTTCGTTAACAAGGAGCCTACTCTAATCCGAGACTAATTGATTACTAACATACAGATGAATAGGATGTCCAAGTCGCGATGATACTTGCACCCTCAGCGTAATATACTGAGGTGCAGATTGTGACAGTGTTTTCCTGCTTTGCTGGAATCTAAAGAAACCGATGTTAATTCTTACAGGAACATAAACAGCATTTAAGAGATTTAGCAATGCATGGGAATGTTTCAAATTTATCAAGCATTGACTAATCACTGATGTGTGTATATTTACTTGCTGAATAGATTAAGTTGTTCCTCTTTGTTGTGAAGAATTTTTTTAGAAAAAAAAATCATAAAATGTAGGTAGATAATAGTGGCTGACAGACATGTAATCCTGGATCTCCATGTCAGGAGGCAAAATCCTCGTCATTTTACAAAGACTGATCATAACCTGCAAGCAATGTTGGCTGGATTTGCAACTGGCCAAGTCAACCGTTCACAGTAATATCTTTTGAAGAAAGCAAAAACTCTCAAGAAACATTTCAATTCTTCAAATTTTGCCCTCAACTGTGAAAAATGACCAAATTCACCCGAAACTAGCAGTGATCTGAGATAATGATGTCAAAACATCTTTTCATCATACCTCAGGTTTAGACATGCAACTCAGTTCCTTCAGCTTCCATCCACTTCCACAGGAAAGATCTTCCTTGGGAACTGGGTGGGGCCCATGGTCATTGTAGGAAGGCTCTTTTGCTCTCTACTACTTAGAGAAATTTTTGACTAAACACCAAGTGAAGAAAAGGGGGCAAAGAACAGGAATAAAAAAATACTCACATTGATATGATAATTCACAAATTATAGAAGGCAGGATGGAAAGCAGGATGTGCATTTAAAAAGTTGTTCCTCAAATCATGCGCCACGCCAGCAGGCAATGCATTATTTACTTGCTCATCTACGTCGTCCATCATTATAAGATCTTCATCAATATCTTCAAGTCCACCATCTTCAGTCATGAAGCAAATGTTGTGAAGAATGCTGCAAGCCAAGAACATTCTGCAAACCTGAAAATGATTTTCGATAGGCATCTATTGAAATGTAATTGATCTATTCTTCCAAGACACTAAATTCTGAAAGGATTTGGAATCAAGATTAGAATCAAAATAGGTAAAGCAGATGTCATTCTGAAATTTGACAGAGATTGAGTTATGCGCACCTCATTGCACCGTCGGGGGTCAAGAATGCTTGCAATCTTACAAAGGCATAATTATCATTAATCATGCAATTCCATCTGATGGTTTCATTTTAAACAGCTTGTTTGTTCATTCGTGACACAGAACATGTTGATTTTTTAATCTGACTGCTTCAATATAGGTGCGTAAACAAGAACCTAAGTAGTTCCTTTAAAATGGCCAGCTCATTTGGACCATTCTCTGGTGCGGATAAAATGATTACTTATGGAAAAAGATAAAAATTGCCAAAAACTTCACATGGCATGGAGATTTCGACCAGTTTCACTTCGTTTTAGGGATATCTCCTTACTTTTGCACTGTCTTAAAGGTAAATGCCCAATTTTTTCGGGGGAATTCATGTAAGAGACGGTTGGGTGTCTAAATGTATTCAATTTGGAAATAGTTAGTGGTTCTTTTAGTGGCACAATTGAGCTTCTTTTTCAAGAAATGACCCTTGGCTGTCCTAATGAGAGGTCATCTGTATCATTACAGTATCATGGTAAACTTACTTTTCCTGGAGTATAGATGAGATTACCACCAGTGCTGTGCAGGCATCTCCACCGTCCTTTCAGTAATCCTACACACCTTTCGACCACACATCGCGTCGACTTATGCAACTGATTGTAGATTTGTTGGGATGCAGTAATAGCAGGGCGATATATTGTTAGAAGGTACCGCGATAGTCGATATCCCGAGTCACCTAGAACACATGAAACCTGATAATGATATACTTAGATGAGGAGAACAGGAGCAAGTACCTAACTATGTGGAAGATTTCTGCTGTAAAGGAGTTCAGTGAATTTATTACTTTTGTTAAACTTCATATGAATGACATAATTTGATGCACTTTCACTTCTTCCTGATCACCAATAAGCAAGGTTACCTGAGAATGTCTCCTTGTATGTAATTTTTATAAAATATGACTTATGAAAATTTTTGGTTGAAACTTTTGAAGGAACAATAAAAAGCGGTTAATAGATATGAACAAAGAGGGGGAAGAGATTTTCAGGCTGAATACAATTCACAGGCTTTTTGAGCTTCATGAGGTTTGCCGGTGGCTCTAATCGTGAGTAAAGCTGTTGATAAGCCCTTTAATCGGATGATTCTTTAGATTTTCAGCTCACTTTTCCTTGATTTGCAGCATAAAGTTGACAAAAGTTAGTTCTTCATTACTTTTCTGAGACGTTTAGAAAATCATTTTGATATTGTTCTGAAAATTATCAGGGTCCACATTTTTTGGCCTGTATTGTAGCACCGCCGGGAAATCGGACTGGAACGAAGAGACTGAAGTTAGTATTTAATGCGCAGGAAACAATAAGCAATATGATAAACCCACACATACCGAGCAACTTGTAGTCTCCAAAAACATGATTGTCAAAACGATGCTTGATCTGGGACACCTCAAAAATACCGCCGTCGTGCACACTACCTGGCCATCTGGCCACAACATCCAATATTCTCATATGGGAATCGCAAATGATTTGACAGTTGATAGAGTGGTTGCCTTTTCGATCAACGAATATATGCTCATCCTGGGTGGGGGTCTGGATTTGGACTAAAGTTCCATCAATGCACCCTAATAGCTGCGGAAACCCATACATAGCCTCAAACTCCTCTGCAACATCCTGCATTGCTTCAGGAGTGTTCGGCATACGTACGAATTTGGGGGCCAAAGTAATAATTGCTTCTACAACCTGTGGAAATAAAGCAGTCCAATAAAAAATTTTTGGATTAGCATGAAGCTCAAAAATGAAGGCAATACGATTGCTAAATAATGTCAATCAATGATACACTGATCCATGAAATTATTTTCATCATACTTACTTCAGCCTTTCTTTTTCATTGATCCGATTCCAAATATCGCAGGAAGCCTGTCTATTGGTTTGGGTTTAGCATGTGAATTCCATTTAAAGAAGATAATCCAAATGAAACACAATACTGGTCATAGAAGTATTGAAGTGCTGGAGATATGCAACAAGTAACTTAGGACTCACCTTCGTCCTGCATAAACTCCACGTTGCTTATCGGCTAATTAGGCACTTAGTTACATTCCGCTTGTGAGCAATCAAGATGCAATCGTCCAACAGCTATCAAGAATTGACTGTAGTCTGATCACAAGAGTAGTCAATTCTTCATCCCTATTGGTCGAATGCATCGTGGTTGCTTGCAAACAGAATGTAAACACATGCCTACTTAGCTGACAGCAACTCTACCTGGATTTTTAATCTCTCAAAAACATTGACTCAATTAGTTAAGATTCTTAAATAATGGTAAAATAGTGTCGGGTCAACAATATTTTGCAGGGAAAACAAGGCCAAAAAGTTGACAAATTTTGAGCTCTGATTGGTGCCAGTACAAAACTGGGGGGGCGATAGTGTTCATCTTGGGCAGTTTGCATTGGATTTATTAAGTTGAAGTCACGCCGAGAGATCTACGATGTATACAGTTTTTTAGGACCTCATCAGTAGATCACACTTGTTGGTGAGCCCAACTGAGCATCCAGAAAAATCGAGGACAGCATCAATTTCCGTTGTGGATTTTGCTAAGTTGAGTTCACTGACGAGTGTCACCTACGAATGAGGTCTAAGTAAGAAGACCCAAAACATTATAGATCTTTTGGTGTGACCTCAACTTAATATTTCAATACAGACTGTCAGAGCTGAACGCTTTCCCCCTTCAGTTTTGTACTGGCACTTGTTGGGGCTCAAAATTTTTGACTGTAATTTAAATATTTGAATTTTAAGGCATTTTTTGCCTCGCAAAATAGTGTGGACCCAGCGTTATTTTACCACCTTGTAACATACAGTTCAGGCCATGTTTCTGGTGTTTTGTTCGTTAAAATTGTTGTAATAATGCAAAACACAACAATACTTGTGTTCTAGATGCAATAGTTTCGATCTAATTTTCGAGAAAAAACCTGGGTGGTTCCTTTTCCCTACCCACCTTCTCAGCTTGAGTGAATTACTAAGAAGAAAAACCAAGATAAAAGCCGATGCAATTTAGCAACTATTTCTGAATGCAACCAAGATCAGTCTTTCGATTTGAGCTGTTCAAAAATGTCCATGAGAAACTGTGAACTTTTAAGGCACTCCATACCAGCCTAAGTATTCGGAGGAGGGAGTTAAAACTATTATTACCTGCTGAATGAAAAGTGACATTTGGCTTTGGACAAAGCCATATTTTTGGCTGCAGCATCTTTGGAACTCTCCGGTGGCCAGGAAATCCAAAACAGCTAGAAGTTTTGTCTCAGCTGAGATGGTGAGTGAAGAGCTGCTGTGGCTTTCAATAAGAGGGCCGATTCGCTCCAATAAAAATTCAAACTGGAAACTGCAGGTACAGGATACAAACAAGTATACAATGTTAGATTTCAAATACTTCATCAATACAGAAAATGTTATTGACACTTAATGGACAAGTTGAGTCTTTATGTTTTAGATGTGAGCTCGATAGAGGGTCTACTCTTATCATTTGCTTTTCATCCACTTTCTTGAAAACTTGACCGAGAGTTACGGTAAATTGTTATGCACTTGCATTAAGGTGGCCATTTGAAACCATGCAATGTATTGGAGGATGAGACATCACACAATTACATAGTATTCAAGTGATGCTTCAGTTCGAAGACTGATCGTAAATTCTTCCGCATTTTGATTGACAAGGTTACGTTTGGTGGGATTGTTCATTTTAAGTGAGCAAATGCAGAGCCAAGGTAGAGAGGTTCCTGAGCTAAGTAAACAGGGACCCCATTAGGATCTCAGTCTCTGCGGAATGGATGTTCATAGAGTGTGCGCAGCTTGTATTGAGAGTGCAACTTTTAGAGGCCACTGTTGACGGGTCGATTGTACTTTTCAAAAGCAGGAAAGAATGAGATTGCTACGTATGTCAAAGTATTCATTAAGAATTAACATATAGAGTATAGCAACAATTTAGTCAGCCTATAATAGAGGAAATATGAAAGCGGAAAACATACCGGGTCAGACGAGTCTGCCTCTTTAACTCCTTATCACTGAAGTCAGCTGCAAATTTCCTTTCCTTCACGTTGTACCCAGGTGGAGGAGGTTGATCTTCGGGTAAATTCATTAGAATAGGGAGAGCAAAAGCCATTTTTGAAGAAAAATAAAAAACTGCTTCACTTCACTAACACTTGATAAAAGATTGAGCGTTTTTGCAGGCAAAGACCCCCTACGAATGAGCCATAGAGAAAAAAAAGGAGGTGTATGCATCTTGAGGATTTGTACCCACCTACGTCATCAATGTAAACAAGACGCTCGTTGAGGGTTATATGTTGACGCTGTAAAAACGGACCATAATGTCCGATTTTTTTACTTAAATCAACTCTTTATTTAAGGTGGATCTTCAGAAAAATGTTCGGCGTTCTGCCACCACGTCGCGCTAGCGGTC